ATTTAATTTAACTTATTTAGCTTTTTGTAAGCATAAATCTGTAAGGATTAGAGTGTTTGAATCACTATTTCCACTAGTTTTTTCACCAAATCAAAGTTTTGCGTATCCAAATCAATCCAATTGTCATATCCAAATCAATCCAATTGTTTGAGAATGAATGAGTTGATGGCATAAAAATGAATGAGTTGATGGCAAAGTTTTCAATGAGAATATCGACTTTGGCTGGGATCTGGATCTGATTGAACTGATTGAACTAAACAAAACCCCAAAAGGATTTAAAATAAAACAAATGGAAAACTAAAATCTATAAAAGGTTCTAGATATCCTGTGATATCAAATAACTTTGTTTTACCAAGATGTTTTAAAAAACATAGAGCTTTTGAAGAGAAATTCAAAATGGTTAGGAACTTTGGAAAGAATAGGAGGAAGAAGAAAGAAGAAGAAAGGAAGAAGAAGGAAAGAAGAAGAAAGGAAGAAGAAGGAAAGAAAAAGGAAGGAAGGAAGAAAGAAAGAAGAAGGATAGAATAGGAGAATTCGAGTAGAGATAGGAAAAATTCAATAATCCAGAAAATGGTCAGAAATTTTGGGGGAATAGGGTAAGGGAATGGGCAGAGAGAGACACATGATGTTAGCGGATAGTTAAGCAGGAGAAAAGGGGGTGGGAAAGGGTGGGAAATTGTGCACCGGGTGGGCAAGCTTAGTGTGGGATATGGACTGAAGTGATGAGAGATGGCGGTGAGAACATGCAAGGGGACATAAGTGGATCCGATCATTTGGGGGACAAGACCCAAGTACGGGGATATCCTAAGACCCTTCCCACTCTTTCACTCCTCAATTCCCCTAGGCAATTTGCAACACTTTCCTCTCATTCATCTTTCTTCCACCCTTTCTTGGTGACCCTTTCTTGGTGACCCTTTTGATGGTGAGTGCAGAAAAGATCCGGGTTTTTTTCACAAAGAGTTGTTTCAGTTGAAAGACAAGGCTGTCAAGGACAAGGCTGAGGACAAGGCTGAGGACAAGGCTGAGGACAAGGCTGATACCGGATTCACCAATGAAGATTAGATTTACTATTTAGAATAGATTTACTGAACATTTAGCTTTGAGAGTAAGTTGTAACTCAGTTTCTAGAAGTGTAATTCAAGTTGAAGTTGTAGCTCAGTTTCTAGAAGTGTAATTCAATAGTGCTTAGTTATTTTTATCATTCAAAGTCATCTTTGTGTTAATAGAAGGCTGGCAAGGAGAACTCTGATAATTTTGACACTCTTGTTACACCTATTCGCTACTTACTAAACCTATCCTTTTGAAAAATGAAGAAAATGAAGAATCAAGTAAATTGAATGAATTGGATATCAAGTTATCCAATTATTTCCTGATTTTGAAAGATGCTCAATGAAATAGGTTGCTTTTTGAGCAAGCTACAGAGCCAATTCTGAAATAGAAGAGTAGAAACTACCAAATTTTCATTATCCACATATCTACAACAACAAAAACACAGATCTCTTACACAGCTAAGAGCTAAGAGCCTTAAGCTAAGAGACTTAAGCTAAGAGACGATAGTTCAAATTGATTCGCAAGAAGCTAATTAGTGAGTGAGCTGTTTCTGGTTTTGGCTTGTTAGATGAGAAAGGGGACACTAATCCTGAACTCGTTATGTCGACTCTTGAAATGAAACTGAAAGAGGAAAGGTTGACGAGAAAAAGGAAGAAAACGAAAATTTTGATTACAACTCACAATTTGATGTCACTTTCACATCGAAAAGGAGTAAAGAAGAAATATTTTGAGAGCATTTTGATGGTGTCACTCTGGTCGAGTCGGGAAAGGATAGCAGACTTGCCTTGCCACTTGCCAAATAAAATTATGATTTTATTAATTCATAAAATCATCAAACGTAAGCTGATTCTTTTCGTACTCGTATTTTATGATTTTCCTACCGTAATCGGTTTTCTACTTTGACTAATAAGCTTAATCTATTTGAAACCTTTACTGCAACCTATTTGCAATCTTTTTGCATTTTCTCGCAAACAAAAAGGCATCTACGCAGTGGGTAGACTGATACTTCAAAGCTACTTCAAAGCTACTTCAAAGCTAGTCAAAGCTACTTCAAAGCTAGTCAAAGCTAGCCAGAATCTTTGCCTTGCACCAAAATTTACAAATAGTTCATAAAATGACGTTTAAACATAAGAATAAACATAAAAAAGCAACATAAACAATCAAAGCAATCAAGTATCCTTCAAAGTAAGTAATGCTAAGTAAACATGGGCTGTTGAACTGGCTAAACAAGTTGAATCAAATTGCCTCATTGATTCGACTCGTCAAAACCTCTGACTTCTGACTTTTTTCGACCCTGACTCGATTTGACTCGACTCGACTCGAAAAATAAGTTTAAAATAAGGATTTCTAAAGGTTTTAGAGGCCAAAATTCAAAATTTTTAACGCTATGCGCTTTCTTTTCTTTCTTTTCTCCGCTTTTCTTTCTTTTTCTTTATAGTTACTTCAAAAAAATACATTTATTCACACGAATAATGTAGCACAAACAATACACAAATAAAACTTTAGAAAATTTTGCTTTTGCTTTTGCTTTTGCGGTTGATTCTTATTTCAGAAAAATTTACATGGACTCGACTCGTTGATTCGAGTCAAAAATTTAACGAGTCAAACTTCGACTAAAAGCGAAAATTCTAAAAGCATCCATATCTAATTTGAATTAAATATTATGTATCAAAGAAAATAGTCTAAGAAGTAGTATATTTGAAATAAACAAATGGAAAGAAATCAATCTGATTAATGATTGTTCTTTTTTTTTTTTTGCTAACCCCAAGGCACTGGAAATATTGAAGCCATAAAAACCCCGTTCACTTTGAAACTGAAACTTTAGACGGTTTTTGTTTTGAGGATTTCCAAAAGAACATGCAAAAAACACAGTAAAATATCAAATAGTTAAACTTTTAAAGAAACGTTTTTAACTAAAACTAAAATGCTAACTAAAATCGATCTGACAAGCACATCAAAGGTATCCAATCTATTAAAACACCGCAAAACTTGAAAGTGATATTGAAACTGATATTGAAACTGATTTCGAGTCAAGCCATGGTTCAAAACATGGCTGGACTCGAGCCGAAAATTTCAAAAACGTCGTTGTTAGGTAGTGGACATAAAAATACCCAAAAATAGACTATAAAAGTATAAAGTAAGTTTGGATTTCAGTTTTTTTTCAAGAGAAAGATAGTCATTCGATGTGTATCGAATTGCCTTTACTCCTTTTCGATTGCCCTCCTTCTATTGCCAATATGAGGGGATTCACTCACTCGTTATGTCCATAAGTCTCTCTTGTTTCCCTCTCGCAAATATCCACTCTTTCCATGTGTCATCCATTGACCCAATAGAGTGGCATCACTCATGCGAGAAATGGAATTTGGGTTGCACACATAATTACGATTAAAATGAAAGTACATGATTTGAAAAAGTGCTTTTGATTGGTCAAAAATTTGCATTTTTTCCGAAAAATTCAGTATTTTAAATTAAAGATATGTCGTAGCCGATTATGAATGAAATTTTTTAGTAAATCTTTCTAGTAGAGCAACCCTTTAATGTATGAGGACAATATCATCCTGTAGCGAATTAAATTCTGCGTCGATTGGTACCAAATTTGTGGGGGGTGGGACAAATGCTACCTTTTTTTGCGCACCTGGACATTTGCGCACCTTTTTTTGCTGGAAAAGGCCTTAGGCAAGGCCGTAGAGCTTCGAAAATATTTCCGTATAAGGGAATCGTATGCGTAGATTCCGAATTTCGACAAATCAGACCTCGCTGACACGTCAAATTTGGGCTAAAAGGCTAGACGCTCCTAGACGCTCCTAGACCCGAATACTTGATGGTTGGACGCTCCTAGACGCTCCTAGACCCAAATACTTGATGGTCGGACGCTCCTAGACGCTCCTAGACCCAAATACTTGATGGTTGGACGCTCCTAGACGCTCCTAGACCCAAATACTTGATGGTTGGACGCTCCTAGACGCTCCTAGACCCAAATACTTGATGGTTGGACGCTCCTAGACGCTCCTAGACCCAGATACTTGATGGTCGGACGCTCCTAGACGCTGCTAGACGCTCCTAGACCCAAATACTTGATGGTTGGACGCTCCTAGACCCACTCATTCATAATCGGCTGAAATTCATAATCGGCTACGACATTTAAATATTTAATTAGAAATTTAGATCAATTTGTTTTATAAATGAATGTTTCCAGAACTATCATGTAATTCATTTTTTATAAAAACTTAAAAGCAGAACAACATAATAGTTTTGGGTAAAATAGCAATTTCAAATTTTCAGTGATTTCAAGAGACAGCTAGATAAAGTTTAGCCTTCTTGATAAATAAAAGAAACTTTGCTAAGAGTTTTGAAACTTTTTCAGAAACTATCTACATCATTCTACCTTTAAATGTAATAGAACAAAATTTGTATTGTTTCCTCATGTGCTCGCATTTTTGAATTTAGCATTTAGAGGTAAAAAATTGCCCCTGCGGAGTCTTTTTGCGATAACTTTGTCGCTAATCGCCAAATAACTTTAGAATTTTGGCATTAAGCTTGTAAGTTTTTGAGGATAAGCCGTTTAAAATATCACTCAAATCTATTGATTCTACTCTGAGATCTTAGCAATTTTAGGGCAAGAGTCAAGTCTTGGTTTACCACCCAATGCAAACAACAGTTGCTCATGGATATGCGATTGAACGAAACATTAAACGGTAACCTTTTTTGAGAAACTCCCGTGCTGACAGTTTTGCTCAAATATTTGAGTTCTTCCATGAGTTGCCTTGAACTGAAATGACGGGACCGAAGAATTTGAATCTCAACAGAGTTCAAAGGAAATCAAAACCATAGTGCGAAGAAAGTAGGCCAAAAAACGGTTTCTTTCCTTTTGAACCACAAAATTTAGGATACTCTTCAAAGCGGATCAAAAAAAGCAGAACATCTTTATTAATTCCTCGACGTGACTCTCATGAAACATCGGATGTGTCTCTAACTCGAATGTGTCTCCAATTTCGCCGTCGTTGGCTCCTCAAGCTGCCTGGTCCTGGTGGACTTTTGTGGAAAAGCGAATAATCCGAGTGATAGATGGCCTTGAAATAGGCCAACGTCTCCGGGCTGGTCAGGATTTGTCGCCTCCACAACTCGTATTGTTCGTGGTGAGAAATTTGTGATCGCTGGTTGATGTTTGTCTTGACGATTCGTTGAAGGGCCTGAAAAGGGTCAATTGGTCAATTGCTGTTAAGCTTTTTTTTTGAATATCAATGCTAAATGTTTCTGGGTCCTAAACTATCTGTTTTTCAGTTAAGTCTAAGCCAACTTTTGCAGATTCTCATTGATCTACAAGTACAGGATGTGGCATATTTAGTGTTGCGCTTGACAAAAGGATGTTTTTCTCAAAAACTAAAAGAGTTTACCAGTTTTTCTTTTAGTTATTTAAAATCTACGCACATTTTTCCACTAGATTTATGAATTTGTGTAAAAACTTTAAAACTTCATTCATTTCATAGAAGACTTTAAAAGTGATTGCTTAAAAAACGAAAAAAATGTGTCGTCGAAAATGTGCCTATTTTTGTTAGTCAATATAACTCGCATTTCGAAAACTAGAACTCAAAAAGCACTATTTTTATAGTAATGAGCTCGAAAAGCGTATTAATGCAGAAAAAAATGGAAAAAGACTTTTAGAGACTTTTTTAGAGACCCTAAACTCGAACTTCACTGTTTTTCAAGATCGTGTCGCATAGAATTTTTTGTATTGCTTGGCTAGGGTTGTCAAAGGTATTAAAAAATCTTACAATTCTTTTATTCTATGTAAAATTACGTGTAGATTTTCTGATCAATTGTTGTTTTTCAGCTTAGGTTAATGTATTGTCTTAGAAAGTTAAAAAGATCCATTAAGCGCAACACTATACCGTATTTTCTCTAATAGCAGTGCACCTAAATTGCTTCGCCTAAATTGCTCGAAATCTCGAGAACCGCTTATCAGAACCTATCGATGTGGGGTCGGAAAATGTAGCTGACGATGAGATCTAGTGGGGGATCAGAGTGTTGAGTTTCTGCGAAAGCTTGGGAACCGTAAAATAGACAACAACTCGGCTCGCCGGGGTGCACTACTATTAGAGAAAATCCGGTATATACCGCACTCTGTGCCGCATCTCTGTGCTGCTTTTTTGGACCCCAAAAAGCCCTTCAGCCTTCAGTCGTAAGATGTTAAGGTTCTTTCAAGAGAATTTCACGAATTTTCAATTACATCAAAGTGGCCGCAAACTGATTTAATGATTTAATGGGTTAAATCGTTAAATCGTTAAAAAGTTAAATCGCAAAAGCCAAGCAAACTTTCTTAGATAGCACGTTCAGTTAATTTCAATTCAATTTGTTAATTCAATTTATACTGAACTGACAATTCACCCATTAAATCATTAAATCATTTTCAGCAACGAGTTCATTTCATTTTTGGAGAATATTGGAAAGTTTTGATCGACATAGTCCTACTTGGAGTCATAAAATTGGATCTAACGATAACCTTTTTCCACATCCATTTGGGAACGGTCGACGACTGAAAGACTCGTGCGAGTCGTTTCATCATCAACGCTTTGTCATTTGTGTACTCGACGACTCGATCGCTTTTGCGATGTGTGGAAATCTCACAGTACCTAGAAAAGCTTTCTAAATATTCAGCTTAAAAATACTTGCTAATTTTCTTGCTAATAATGCTAATAATCTAACCCATAATTACCCATAATAGTTACAAAAATTCAGTGAAAACCGAAACAATAAACAAATCGAATTATTGAAAATCGAATTATTGACTTTCATGTCAAACGAGTTGCAAGCACTGACTAGGGAACTGTTTGAAGTTAACACAGATTTTCGAAACCGGACCTAGACCTAGAAACAAAGACCTAGCTATCACCGATTTTCGAAGCCGGACCTAGCCACAAAGACCTAGCTATCACCGATTTTCGAAGCCGGACCTAGCCACAAAGACCTAGCTATCACCGATTTTCGAAACCGGACCTAGCTACAAAATGCCTCCGTTGAATTCTAAGAAAGATATATTTTTTATTTTTTCCTGATGGAGGTTAGTTTTTGAGAATGCGTGCAAAGTTTTGGCCAATTTCGGCAAACTGGCACCTCGCCTATAAAGCCTATAAGGCCTATAAGGGAGCGCCAAGCGAGAGAAGGAGAAGAGTGCCGGTAACCTAGAGAATAGTGCGCGAGTCTACGAAACTATACCCTTTTTGCTAGTGGGTTCAATTCCGTTGCTCCTAGCCAAACTTTTTTGCTTTTTTGTCAAACTTGGAAAAGTGTCTGAGGTTCCAAAAGTGTCTAAGCACATGCATTTGATCTCTAATACTTAAAAACCGACTAAACTGGATTCTGAAGGGGATTTTTATTCAACATATGAATTCATTTTCCATTTGAAGAGCTGACTTCTTGACAATTTCCAATGACTTCATCAATCTTCATCATCAAAAGGTTTTTGGAAGCTTTAAAATGCTTAAATATTCCTAAAAACAGCTTCTTATGTTTCAGGGAAAAAGCAAAAAAGTTTGGCTGAGAGCGGGATTGAACCCGCGAGCAAAAATGGTATAGTTTCGTTGACTAGCCGATCCCCTAGGGTATCACCGCTCTTCCTCCGCTCTCGCTTGGCGCCCCTTTATAGGTGAGGTGGCAGTTTGCCTAAATTAGCCGAAACTTTGCATGCGTTTTTCTCAAAAACTAGCCTCCATCAGAAAAAAATCAAAATATATTCCTTGGAATTCAACGGGGACGCTTTGTAGCTAGGTCCGGTTTCGAAAATCGGTAGTAACTTCAAACAGTTCCCTAGTGAGTTCAGAATTTCAACTAGATCTTCGAAAATTTCTCACCAAGATTGCGGAATGACGTGATGTTTGAATCGCAGAAAGTCCTTTGAGCCGGGCCCTCCACGATTCGATTTGAGCATCTGGTAGACACCACGAGCAAACGAGTGGATATTCTTGCCGGCAACTCCGCAGAGATGCTCTCGTCTGAATGCGCTGATTCATGCTTTTTAGCTTTCTCGAAAAAAATGTACTAAGTACAAGCACAGCAGCAAGTCACTAGAGCATTAAGTACTCATTAAGTCAGCATTAGTACTCATTAGTGCTTAAGTACAGCATTAAGTACAAGCAAAAAAAAAAAACGACGGATCCAGTAAGCAATTGTGGGAAACTTATCTCGTTAGTTTATCAAATCTATCTCATTTTTCCTCTCATCTCTAGAGTTTTTATTTCCTGGACTTCTTAAATCTGATACTTTCAATAGTTTTTGTCGTTTTGTTAGTTGTAATCGGGATTGCTTAGTCAATGCAATGCAAGTTAATACAACTTGTAACCATTCAAAAGCAATGCGCCATCCATTCAAGACACCCACTTGCACATGTGTCCATAAAGCGAGAGGAAACGATCTAACGGGTCTCTCCAGATGAAAAAGCGCTTGTGACCAGCCCAACCATTTAGCGGAGCCGTGAAAGCCGTCATCACCATTTCGTTCTTTTGTTTCCCAAAGCAATAACTGAAAAGTTGGAATTAATATTGTTTCCTTCTACATCAAACTTGTTCTGATTGAGTTTATTGCTTTCGCTCGGTCCAATATGGCCTCTTTTCTTCAACGTCTCAATTTCACAATGGATCTAAAAGAGTCATTGCTAACTTTGCTAAATTCCAGATCCCACTCTTGCCATCATTGTGGTCATCGTTTTTGCCGGACCCAAATAGAGCAAATTGCCGAATTTCTGAAGTGTCACAAATAGAAATGATGAAATGACGTAATGTTAAAAAACATTCATGTTTCTGGAAAGCAGCTATGCAACCGGAGTATTGAGACCGGAGTAGTGAGACCGGTGTATTGAGACTCGCTAATTGATAATTGTCATCGCTAATTGATAATTGTCATCGCTAATTGATAAAAGGAGACGCACTAAATTCAGGCTCTATGTAGTTACGTTTAGTTTAGGCTCTATGTAGTTACGGTAAAAGCTGTAAAAGTGTAAAACCCTCCTCCCACCTCTAATAATAGCTACCCCCCGCCCCCCCCCAAATGGCCAAATATTTTGATCTAAAAGGTTCCAATACGGTTCCAATACGGTTCCTATTTTGATCCAAAAGGTTTCAATACGGTTCCACTGTTTTTAGCTGAATATCTTGTACCTCTCCTTGAAATAGCGAAATATTCAATCAAAAGGAGTGATTCATTCACTTTACGCAGTGTAAAGTGCCGCGTTTAACAAATTGCTTTTGCTAAGAAACTCTTTTACTACGTTTTACTACGTTACTAAGTCTTTTACTAAAAAACGTCTTGTACTCGCGCTTTTAAAGTCGATCATTTCACCTTTTCTTTACAATTTAAAAGGATTCAATTAAAAATTGCTAAAATTACTAGTAAGCTAACAGCTAGATATCATTTTCGCTACTCATCGCACCGTATTTTCCTAATTCTCTAACTAGATTTTTGCATTTTTAAATCATTAACACTGCTTGTTGTCTTTTTATTGTGGAAATTTACTTTACAATGCTTTTTTACGTACAACTTTAATGATTTTCTTTTAGGAACCGATGATCAATTGGTTGAGCCAGACAACCTTACGGAATTTCGTGATCGTCAAGAGTTCAAAATGAGATGCAATTTCGAGAGAGAAGAGCTAGAAGATGCAAGCAACAACGTGGATTCGCAAGCAAAAGGGATGAAAGAAAGAAAGAAATAAACTCAAAAAGATCAATCACGTTGAAGACCAAACTGGATGTGGTAAAAAATGGCACGAGAGGTTTCTATTCACTCTGCCGCCAAATTCTATAACGTCGATCGATCTCGAAACGATATCTGAAGCAGGACATGTTCAACTGTTGAAACAGATCGATCAATCGGTTGAGCCAGATGACCTTACGGAATTTCGTGATCGTCAAGCGTTCAAAATGGGATGCAATTTCCCATTGAGGAAGTTGCAGAATTTGGAGGAAGAATTTGGGTCTGATAGATCAGTTGATGTAGTTTTTAAAATTTCTAATTTATTTTTGTTAATTTTTGTTGAATTTTAGTTATTTTCGTAAATAAATGAATTGGAAACTGTTTTTTTGATGAGTGGTAATTATCTTTATCTATTTTTCTCTACATAGTGCCCGAAAAATGCCCGAACCAACCTCCGTTTGCTGTGCTTTGCTTTTATGCGCTTTTGGGTTGATGCGCTTTTGGGTTGACTATCCTCTTTCTACCTTTTCTTTATTATGCAAATTTTGACTTTCAAAAATGTTATTTACTTCTTATAAATTAATTTTTTTCAGGTATGGTGAGCAAATCTACTCATCAAGATTCGATTATCGAGCTTTTTCGGAGGGAAGTTTCAGGCCAATTGAGATTGGTGGATGTTGAGAGGTTGATGGTGGCAAAATCGGTCGTTTACAAGACAATTCGTTGATATAATAATCTTGGAACAACTTCTGATCGATTGAGCCGAAAAGCCACCGTGACAACAAAGAAGAATATCAAGAAGGTGTGAACGAAACTTCCCGGATTTCATCAGCTTTCCGCTTTAAGCAGTGGCCACCATCAAGGCCTGATTTAAACCCGATGGATTACTCAGTACTCATTACTCTGGGGTGTTCTCAAAGCAAAGGCCTGCTTAAAAGAAGATTCAAGCATTGATTCACTGAAAAGATCACTCCAGAAAGCTTGGGCTGAACTTGATCCTGCGTCTCTTTTGGTCACCATCGATGGCTTCGAGCATCGAGCGCCTCCAAAAACGTCTTGCTGCTTGTGCAGCCGTGAATCGCCCGTGAATCTTCGGAGAAAATAAACCAAATTGTTGAAAGCAATCTAGAGAATATGTTAATGTTAATTTTTGGTTTTTTCGATGAAAAGGCTTTTAAAACATGATGTTATCGGTTTGGGTAATTTTAGGGCACTCTGTATTTTCCAGTTTTGGTCATGTGGATGGTCATTTTGGTCATGTGAATGGCAAAAAATACAATCGAAAGTATAATTATCCCCTCCCCTCTCCCTTCTAATGGTGCTCCCCTCTAACAGTGAACCCCTAGAGAGTCAGCGAAAAAATAATGTCCCCGGCGCTACTATTACAGCTTTTACGGTAGACTGTTTAATGTTTCCAAAGCCAGTCTTGCCGCACAGTCTCATCTAATTAGCTCACCTAATTTTCGATCCGAACTCTCTTAAGTTATCTAGAACAACCGAGGTCATTTGGTAAATAAACGCTTGTTTTTGTTAGTGAACTTGTAACTCGAAGTCTCTTAACTCAAAAAACTCACTTGGTTGACACAAAACGCTTCATTCCGTCGAATGGACAGCGGCTTGATGGCCGTCAAGACAATCAAATAAAAGGAAAATATAAACAAAAGTCGAAATCTCATCATTCCTTTTTGAAAAGCCAAAATAAAATAGTGTCGATGATTCTCATCGAGAAATCGGATCGAATAGCTGTGCGGAAAAATTTGTCGGATGGATTTCCGATTCCTCTTTACGCCGGTGGAAATATTTCGGCGTGGGAGCCATGTGGTGATGACAAATTTCGAATAAGGCAATAGAAAAATGAAAGAAAAAACCAGATTGGGCTGAGAAAGTTCGGAGAGAGGCAGAGATCTCGAGCGAGAACTGAAAATGGACACTCGGAGACAACAAAGACGATACGTTCTGGTCTGGTTCGTCGCAGACGAGATCTCTGAGTATTATTGAAGCTTTTGATAGGTGATCTTTGGTGAACTTCAGCTTTTCAATGACCTTTTCTGCGCTTATGTAATTTTGTTGATGTAGGTCTTCGGTGGGCTTCTCTGCTGGGGTCAGATAGATCTCAAATCAATGGGCGGACCATTGATCGTCGACTTTGTTGCTCTTTGAAGTCTTCTTCTCGAAAAAGTCCTTGAGTCACTCAAGGAAGTCCATGAGTGCGGTGATGCCTGCTGGGACTCTTTGCACGTCGGTCAATTGAAGATTTTCTTTGATCATTGTTTGATCGTTCACCTTGGCGTTCACCTTGGAACATTTCACATGGAATTTTACCGATTCTGATTGAATGCGAGAAACTTCTAAGAAATATGCAAATTGTTAGAAAGGCCGGTGGAAGAACTCATATTGGTGTTCATGGTGAAAACATTGCGAGCAGTTCCTGGCCCGCCCAAGCGTTTACTGATGGATCGTGCGGGTTGGTCTCCCTCTGATCCAAATAGAGAGACGCTCGTTTTGGCTGTCGCCGCGTTTAACTCACCACCTAAGATAAACTGATAGGTAGGAAGCAGGGGAGCATTGATCGTCAACTTTGTTGCTCTTTGAAGTCTTCTTCTCGAAAACAACTTCCTTGAGTGCGGTGATGCCTGCTGGGACTCTTTGCACGTCGGTCGATTGAAGATTTTCTTTGATCATTGTTTGATCGTTCACCTTGGCGTTCACCTTGGCTGCGTACTCGTTGTATTTGTTCACGAGTTTTGTGAATTTTGCTCGAATGAACCCTGACATTTCAGTGGGGATTTTTCTTTTGCCTTGTTGTGGAGGGGTGAGATGGGAGGTGTCGGATGCCGTGAGCGACACTCGGGATCTCTTTACCACGAAGGTCAGCGGGAGGAGTGACGGCTGTGGGCTTCTTTTCGGGGTCTTCCCTTCTTTCTTTCTAGGGTTGGGAACTGTGCGTTCTCTTTGCTCGGGCTTTTGCTCTCTTTCTCTTTTCCTTCCGGGCTGACGGAGAGGGTGGAAAAGGGGAGATCCACTGTGTCTGTGTGCCTGATGTTGGGCGATAGTGGCGATAGGCGCTGTCGGGGTCTTTGCGATCTTTGTCTCGATTGCTTTCAGGCTCTACGACTCTGTCCCATGACTCGACTCAAAACTCTGTTCTTTTCGGACATGAACAAATCCGGGAATACCTCGTTTAGCCATTCCGAAATTGCTCTCCTTGTTGGTGCTTTTTCCAGTTTGTCGGGTGTCGATGTCGAGTTTCTCCACCAAAATGTTCACCGGACTATGTTGGCCACACTGTCCGGTTCCCATTGGTTTGTGAAAACTGACTTAAAGGTGAGATCGAAATCTGTGAGTTAACATGAAGAGGTTTGGACTGTTGGGTTTGGACTGTTGGATTTGGACTGTTGGATTTGGACTGTTGGGTTTGGACTGTTGGGATTGGACTGTTGGGTTTGGACCACCAATTTTGTTTGCGACTAGTCCGGTGTGTTGGACTTTTATAGACAATAAAATAATAATATCGAGCGTTCATTGGTATTGGCAGAAAAGTTATTTATCTACATAAAATCGGAATCAAAAGAAGAAACAACAATAAATGCATCAGAAACATTCCAAATATGCAAAATGGGTTCACCGGTGAGCATTATGATGCATTATGATGGGAGAAAGCCTGAGAAATGTCAAATTTTGAATAGAATGTCAATATTTAATGTCAAAAAGATAAGCTCAAAAAAACAAAGAAACGAATCGAATCAATACCCTAGAAGCAATGGAATTTAAATTGATGCAAAAAACATTTAATTTTATCTAACTGATCAGATTAATTGACTACAAGTTCTAAATATTTTGCTAGAAGTGAAACTCTAGCAAAAGGAACGGTTGCAAAAGAAACGGTCGGTCAAAAAGAAGCAAAAGGAACGGTTGCAAAAGAAACGGTCGGTCAAAAGGAAGCAAAAGGAACGGTCGGTCGTTCCTTGGAGTCGGGTTGCCTGGGAACGCAGCCTTAAGCGGGTGGTAACTCATCAGGCTAATTGGCTCGAGACCGTGCAAGAAGTCGTGAGGGAAAGTTGCAAAGGACTTTGAAGAGAGAGTTAGTGAAACTCTCGAATTCTTTTATAATCGTTTGAATCTTATGAGCTCTTACATCAACAGAGCTTCACAGATAGTAAGCTTCGTTTTCTGCTTCTTGTTCATTGATTCGTTCTCTTTTTTGAGCCCATTTGTAGATGGCAAACGCAAAGAGTAAAGCGAAGAAAGAAATGGTGATTGGATAGAGATAAGTACATTTCGGATGATCCCAACACTGGCGTAGACGTTCGAGGATTGGCTCTGTAAATATTTCATTAGTTATGCTCATAACCTTCTACATGTCGACTCAGTTCCTGATTTGACTTCTAGAAGCAATTTAGTTAGTGTATCCCGATTCGACTCGACATCAACTTAGCTCAAGTCTGACTAAATATTCAGTATTTTTAGAAAAATTGCAGTAGATTCAGCCAGAATTAAGCTAGGCTTAAGCTAGACTTGAGGGATCGGTGTTGAGAAAACCGGGATCAGATCGCAGAAATTTGATTGCTTTCTGAGCAGCAAAAGCTTCCTCATTTCAAGCTTTTGGTCTACTCTATACAGGGGGTCCCAAAATTATGGAGCGGATCCTGTTTTAGACAGATTTCTTGTTTTATTTCGTCCTTTTTCTTACTTATGACTAAAATTCTTTTGTTTCTTCTTTCGCAGTCTTCTTTCGGCCGCGTCCTTCGATCGATCTTTCAATTTCGCAGTCTTTTTGTGGCGCTTTGTGCTTTTGAGACACGTTTCTGGTGAGGCACGTGCAAAAGCCATCACGGATTTGCCATCCTGTGAGAGTCGAACGATGGCTGGTCGCAAATGCAATTGAAATGACAATTGGATGAAGATGAAATCACAATTGCATTTGCGACGAGCCATGGGTGAACTCTGGACCAACCATGGTTCAACTCTGGACCAGCCATGGCTCGATGGCAAATCGGTGATGGAGATTTCACGTGCCCCCCACCCCCACCTTTTGCACGTGCCCCACCAGACGCTTTCAAAAGCAATCAAGCGCCACAAAGTTCGATTAGGACGCGGCCGAAAAAAGGTTGCGAAAGAAGGTTGCGATTTGAGTCTCTGTGGCTGTACAACCGACAATTACCTATTTTTGTTATGTTCAGCCATTGTTTGAATGATTTTTAAAAAAACCCCAAAAAAAAACCCCCCCCCCCCCCCCTTCACAACCCTTATTTATTTTTTTTTTTAATTAAAATTTTTGTTTTGGTTAAATTTTTTTTTTTCGCCCCTTTTTTTATTTTTAAAGTGTTTTTTTAAAAAAATATTATTTTTTTTTTTTTTTTTTTTTTTTTCCCCACCCCACTCTTTTTTTTTTTTTTTTTTTTTTTTTTATTAAAAAAAAAAATTAACTTTTTTTTTTTTTTTTTTTTTTTTTTTTTTTTTGCGCCCCCTTTTTTTTTTTTTTTTTTTTTTTTTTTTTTTTTTTTTTTTTTTGGGGGGCCCCCCCCTCTTTTTTTTTATCTTTTTTGGGTTTTTAATTTAAAAATTTTTTTAAGGTATCTATAAAAATTTCTTGAAAATTAACAAAAGCTCAATGATCGAATTTTTGCTCCATAATTTTGGGACACCCTGTAAAAGCAACTACATACATTTTCCAACTTTAAAATCGCTTACATACAATACTGGACCATGAAATATGATATTTGAAAAACGATCGTCACTTTCGCGCGTCTGTAACTCCCTTGTCTTTGAGTTTAAACTATTAGTGTTATGCATTTTCTGAAAGCTCTTTTCAAGGGCTACACAATGGTAATATTAATATTTAGAAATACGGTAAAGACAAGGGAGTTACAGACGCGCGAAAGTGATGACCTTTTTTCAAATATCATATTTCATTGTCCAGTAGTGTATACTGTAAAATTTTGAGTAAACTTTGGAGGATGTAGCTGATTTGAATAAGAAAGTGTGCTTTAAAACTTACCAATTCCATTACGCAGTGCTTCAGTTTTTCGGTCATTCATTCCGACGATCGGTGAATCGACTAAATCTTTCGTAAATGTTGATTTCATTGGCTAATTCTCTTTAAAGACATTAATTGTATTAATAAATCCTACCTGGATATCCAATTACAAGAATTGAAACAAGAAAACAGAGGAGAAGTTTCATTTTTGGGGTGAATACGAATGAATGAAATGAAATGAAATGAAATGAATCAATCAAATTATAGAATAAAGAATGACAATTCCGAAGTTTGTGATAAGAGTTGTGGATGGGCGGAAGGGCTTGGCGAGAGACAGGAGTGATGATACGCGCATCTTACAACAGAAAGCAAACTTTGTCCTTTCATTGACTAATTCCTTCAGATTCGAGTAATTTGATTGGAGAAGGTGGAAAAACATTAACAACGAATCCTGTGCAAACCATTAACGGCTTTAAAGTACAATAGCGCATGTTCCTCAACGATATTTCAAGAGATTCATAATGTATCTCTACACTTTTGTCTATGTGATACTCAAAATCGAAAGCTTTTAATCCAACTATTTTCTTTTGAAGTCCATCTTGTGTTTATGAGTGGATTTTAGAGGCACACAAACACTTTTAAATGTTTTAGAGGCACTTTTAAATATTTTAGACTTGTTACTCATTTGAAATTGAGTTTGTT